CCCTCCTTCCCCAGCAGAGCATCTGGTGGATTTGAACCGTGCGCCTCTGGGATTGTAGTTGCAGCTCCTTGCCACTAGGCCACCAGAGCTCCCCTGTAATGTTCAACTTTTTTGAGACATTGCCACAGTGTTTCTCACCAGCAATGCGTAAAAGTTCCAGTATCTCAATAGTCTCACCATTTTGTTATTTTCTATGTTTTTAAGAAATCATAGCCATCTTGTTATTGTTAAATTAGAAGGATAACTAGTAAAATGTATATGGGATTCAAGGGGGGATGGGGTGGGAGCAAGGGGGTAAAGGTGGGTATGGGGGAAATAATGGGGTCACCAATTTGATGAGGGGAAAGAGAGGGAAAGGAAATGGGAAAGATTTGTCAGGGCCTGAAATGATGGGGTAATCGTGGGTGTAGTTTAATGGTGATTAATTTTATAAAACATAGTGTATGGGAATGATTGTATGAATTACAATGTGAATGAAGGTAAGTGTGAAACACAATGTACATTAATTTAATATGCCAACTACTGTTGTTGTGTACCATCCAGTCAGGAGTGACCCATAGCTGACCCTCCAGCGAGTTTTCAGAGGCAGTTAATAGCAAGGAGGAGATTGTCCATCCTTCTCTCTCAGGTAAACTTATATAAAATAATAATAAATTATAGCCATCTTGTTGTTAGCTATCAGGAGTTGCTTCCAACTCCTAGCAACCCTGTGTATGAAAGAAAGAAATACCACCTAATCTTATGTTGCCTTCACAATCTCTGTTGTGTGTAAGCCTACTGATGTTGCCAATGGTGTTCCCTGAAGGTCTTCATCTTTTTCTCCTATGCTCACCTTCCCCAAGAAAGTACTTTTTGGTACTTGACATACTTTTCCAGGAATTAGCCCCTCATGATGATATGTCCAAAACATGTGAGAAATCTCATTATCTTTGCTTCAAAGAAACAGTCTGGTTGTACTTCTTCTAAGAAATTTGTTTGTTCTCTTTTTTAATATAATTGAATCTTTATTTAAGTCTTATGAGCCAACTTATTGCTGTTCTTTTGTCAGTTCATCATATATTCACTATTCAAAGACATAAATTTTTTTTTGTCTTCCATATTCATTGTCCAACTTTCACGTTCATATGCTGTTGTTATTAGGAACTGTCAAGTTGTGTATGACCCATAGTGACCCTATGACCAGACCTGCTACCTATCTTGTGCCAATTGGTGCAGCTGCTCTGACAGTCTATCTGATTGAAGGTCTTCCTCTCTTTTGCCAACTTTCCATTTTTTCAAGCATGATGTCTCTCTCCAAGGGAAAACCTCTCTTAGCAGCATGCTAATATGTGAGATGAAGCTTTGTTATTTTTGCCTCCAAGGAGGCCTCTGGTTGCACCTTCTTCAAGACATAATCTGTTGGTATTTTTGGCAGTCCATGGGGTATTAAATACTCTTTTGATATTGCTTTAACTATTTGAGGCCTTTTGATATTTCATATAAAATGGAGGATTATTTTTCTATTCTTGCAAAGCAAATTCTTGAAATTTTAATCAAGATATTATATTAAATATGTGGGTTACTTTGTGCAACATTGCCATCTTAACAATGTCTTTCAAACTATGAGCATGGTATATCTTTTAGTCATTTAAATGTTTTTTTTTAGTTTCTTTCAACAGTGTTTTATAGTTTTCATTATATTAGTATTTCGTATCACTGGTTAGATTTATGACTAGGTATTTTACTCTCTAAGATCCCATTATAAATGGAAATGTTTCCTTCCTTTCCTTTTAAGATTCCTTGATTCTAATATATAAAAATTCAACTGATTTTTTAAATTATATACTTGACCTTGTACCCTTCAAATTTCTTGTGGAATCCAGGATTTTCTATATATAAGATTGTATCATCTGTGAACAGAGATAATTTTACTTTTTCTTTTCCAGTATGAATGCTTTTTTATTTCTTTTTCTTGTCTTATCATTCTAGCTGGGACTTGCAATACAATATAATATAAATTTGAGAGTAGTCATTCATCTATTTCCAAAGGTAAAGGTTTCAGTCTTTTCCTACTAAATGTAATATTGACTGTTGACTTTCCATAAAAACCCTGAGTCATATTGAGGAATTTCCTTTCATTCAAACCTTCTTAAAGTCTTCATCAAGAAAGGGTGCTGCATTTTATCATATGTCATTTCTGCATCCATAAAGATAATCATATAATATCTTCTTTTGATGTGGTATATTACTTTAAACTCAAGAATCTTGTTCATTAGAATCAACTTTTTCACTTAAACTTAACTCTATAAATTATCTTTGGACTAGGATTATTCTTTGAAAGATTGATGAAAAATTAACTTCTAATCAATACAGTATTGTGACAAACCTCTTTCATTAAAGACACTAGCTAGCACACAGGGTGCCTATCATAGGTTGGGAACTTTTACAGCATGATGAAGGGTGAAAAAAGGACTTGGCCACTGGTAGTTTACTTTAATGATTATTACTAGGGAACATTTTCCTTGTACTTACACACTCCACAGTCACTGAAGCAATCACACATGCCAGTCTGCCAGTTGGAGGGTTGGGCTGCAACACCATACCCAGGTTGAGTCACAATGACCACTGGTGACTGAGTTTGCATTTTGATGCAGGATCTTAAAAGACTGTAAAAGAAAAAAGAAGTTGTGAGTAGCCTTGAGGTTGCTCTTGAAAGTCCCTGTTTTGAAGTACTATGTTTCACTGGGGATGTGAGGTAATTAGATCAAGTTGCTTGTTGATCCTTGAAGAAAATGATTTCTACTTCTACCTTCAGAGGACAGAGGTCACTGAAGGGAAAGAGGTAGAATTCACTGAACTAGTAAGATAAACAGACGCTTCTCATGGTGTAAGATAGGTGAAACAGGGTAAAGCACATTCCTATTTTTAGACAAACCTTCGAGATTAACAACAAAAGACAAACAAAGACTACACTCCTTAACGGTGGTGAATTAGAGAAATCAGTCTATAATATAAAGATTGTACCAGTCTCTGGGTGATGCAAATGATTCAGTGCTCAACTCATTGAAAGGTTCATGATTTAAATCCATCTAGAGTGGCATAATTTAATATGATACAGGTCATGGTCCTTGTAATCACTTATTATGCATCAGAGAGTTGGACAATGACCAAGGAGGATGGAAGGAGAATTGATGCCTTTGAGCTGTGGTGCTGGAGAAGAGTATTATTGAGAGCATCATGGACTGCTAAGAAAACAGATTCATCCTGGAAAGGGTTAAACCGGGTGGCTCCTTGGAGGCAAGAATTCTGAGGCTCCATCTAACATACTTTGAATATGTTGTAAGGAGACACTGGTCCTTGGAGAAGGACATCATTCTTGGGAGGGTGGAGGGACAGTGCAGGAGGGGAAGGCCTTCTATGAGGTGGATTGATTCAGTGACTGGGGTAATTGGGGTGGGAGTGTTAGAGACAGTGCGGTTGGCACAGGACAGAGCAGAGTTTAGGGCTGTTGTACATAGGGTTGCTGTGAGTCGCAAGCGACTCGACAGCATGTAACAACAACAGAGGGGCATCAAAAGTTAGATCTGGACACATGCTTCTGAAAGGTTCCCACCTTTAAACACTATGGGCAGCCCTGAAAACCCTGCACACTTAAGATAATCACAGTCAGAACTGAGTTGAATAACTAACGATAACTTCTCTGCACATTCATCCTTTTCTCAGTTTCTAATTGTTTAGGAGTTGTTTTTGCTTAGCACTCCACACCATTCTTCCTGTTTCCTGTTTTCTTTTTATAATTTTTATAAATGTTAACTGGTGATCATTCAGTTAAAAGTCATCAAGGTTATGCTAGACACACACTGTCCACTTCATCTTCACACTGCCCTGCAAAGTAGGAATTATTTACTAAGTTTTATGGAAATAGAGACTCAATATGACCAATAAAATAATGTAATTGATTCATATGATCCTTGAAATAAAAGGTTTGCAACTGCAACTCTCCATGAGTTAAAACTATCATAAAATATAATCAAATAACTATTCATAAGTTCATACTGATAAATTAAATGGAAAAAAGGAGAACTCTCCTGTGTTGGTTGTTATGTGTCTTCGAGACGCCTGCGACTCATAGCGACCCTATGTACTACAGTCCTAAACCCTGCTCTGTCCTGTGCCAAGCTCACTGCCTCCAACACACCTACCCCGATCACCTCAGTCACTGAATCAATCTACCTCATAGAGGGTTTTCCTCTCCTGCGCTGTTCCTTCACCATTCCAAGCATGACATCCTTCTCCAAGGACTGGTCCCTCCTGGCAACGTGTCCAAAGTATGTCAGACGAAGCGTCAGAATCTTGCCTCCAACTAGCATCTTGGTCTTGCACTCTTTAGGAAGAACGTGTTTCTTCTCCTAGCAATCCATGGTATATTCAAAGCTCTTCTCCAACACCACAACTCAAAGGCATTAATTCTCCTTCTATCCTCCCTAGGCATTGTCCAGCTCTCTGATGCATAACAAGTGATTGCAAAGATCATGGCCTGTACCAGGTGCATCTTAGTCTCCAGAATGACATCATTGTTCTTCAGTATTTTAGAGAGGTCCCTGACAGCAGACTTTCCCCAGTGCAATACATCTTTTAATTTCCTGGTTGCTGGTTCCAAGCATGTTATTGTGGAGCCAAGCAAACTAAAGCTGTGAACAATCTCAGTCTCTTTACTATCTATCAAGGTGCTGCCATTTTACCCAGTGGTGACTCTTTGTTTTCTTAATATTGAGCTTCAATCCATACTGAAGACTGTAGTCCTTGACATTCTGCAATAAGTGCTTCAGGTCCTCCTCAGTTTCAGAAAGCAGTGTTGTTGATAAGTCTTCCTCCAATCCTGATGTCACATTTCTCCTCATAGAGCCTAGCCTGCCAGATAATCTGTTCCGCATGTAGATTAAAAAGGTATGGAGATAGGACACATTGCTGGCATACACCCTTCCCAATTTTCAACCATGCAGTGTTTTCTTGCTCTGTTCTCAAGACTGCCTCCTGGTCCAAGTATAGGTTTTGCATAAGAATGATCAAGTGTTCTGGGATTCCCATTCTTCTCAGAGTTAACCACAGTTTGTTGTGGTCCACACAGTCAAATTTCTTTGCATCGTCAATGAAACACAGATACACATTCTTCTGGTACTCCTTGCTTTCAGTCAAAATCCATCTAACATTAGTTACAATATACCTAGTTCCACAGCCTCTTCTAAACTCAGCCTGTACTTCAGGCAGATCTCTATTGATGTGCAGTTCTGGACTTCAGGCAGATCTCTGTTGATATGCAGTTCCAGTAATTTTTGGGTAATCTTCAGCAGAATTTTGCTTACATGTGGTATTAATGATACTGTTTGATAATTTCCACACTCTGTCAGAATCACCTGTCTTTGGAATGGGAACAAATATAGGTCTCTTCCAGTCATTTGGCCAAGTGATTGTCCTCCAGATTTCTTGACACAACTTGGTAAGCGCATCTAGGGCAGCATCTGTTTGTTGAACTATATTAACTGGTATACCATCAATTCCCAGGGCCTTGCTTTTTGCCAATTTTTTCAAAGCAGCTTGAACTTCTTTCTTTATCACCAGAGGCTCTTCCTCATACATTGTTTCATGAAATTCTTCTGTATCAGCCAATTCCTTTTGGTACAATGACTCTGTATACCACTTCCATCTTCTTTTAATACTTCCTGGATCATTTAATATTCTACCCAAAGCATCCTTAAGTGTTGCAACTTGAGGCTTGAATTTGAGGATGGACAATCCCCTCCCATGCGGTTTCCTGCCTCTGAGAACCTGCCGGAGGGTCAGCTGTGAGTTGGCTCCAACTCCATGGAACACACCACCACGGGAGGGTGGACAGGAGGCGGGCACTGGTGAGCTTAAGAAATGCCAAGTGAGTTTGCCCCTTTTGAATTTTTGACTCTAGCTTTTTGCACATTTCATTGTAATACTTTAGTTTGTCTTCCCATGCTGCCCTTTGAAATCTTTTGTTCACCTTAATATCTTGATATCTTCCATTTGCTTTGGCTTCTCGGTGCTTTAGTGCAATATTCAGTCTCTTCTGGCATCCACCTTGGTGTTTTCTTCCTTCTTTGTCTTTGTAATGACCTTTTGCATTCTTCCTGGGTGATATTCTTGATATCCTCCCACAATTCACTTGGCCTTCACTTATTGTTTGTTTTTTTAAATTATTATTAAATTTTATTAGTTTTAATGAACATTTACAGAGATTTTGGGTTCTCATTCCTTCATTGTTGCACTGTTTTCTCTATCCTCCTCCCCAGTTCGTTCTTCTTCCCCCCCCCCCAAATGTCTGTTTTAATTGTCCAATTGCCATAGTGCTTGTCAAAGCCAGTTCTGATTAATCTCCTTTGTCAGTGTGTCCTTTGCCATTCCCTCCCACTCCTCCCTGAGAGAGACTTCATCCTGATTCATAAGGAAAAGGGGATGGTGTATTCTCTTAGCTACTTCCTGCTGAAAAGGGACACTGTGGGTTTCAGGGTGAAGATCTTCTCTCACTACTTTAAAGGGCCCCTTTGGCAGTAGGAAATACATAGAATATTATGGAGATTGATTTTGGAATTTAGATGCACTGTCATTAATTGTGTTCACTTATTAGTGTTCAAGGCCTCAAACCTGTTTCTGAGATGGTTTTTTAAATTCAGGTGGGGTAGACTCAAGGTTATATTTTGGTTCCTATGGATTTGATTTAATTTTCGTTGGCTTCAGCTTGAACTTGCATATGAGTGGTCGGTGATCTGTTCCACAGTCAGCTCCTGGCCTAGATTTCACAGTTGATATTGAGCTTCTCCAGCAATTCTTTGTACAGATGTAATCCATCTGATTCCTATGCATACCATCAGTTGAAATCCATGTGTATAGCCTGTGTTTATGTTTATTATAACATGTATTTGCAGTGAATAAATTGTTGATTGTTCAAAATTCCATCATTCTATCTCCAGCTTCACTTCTGTCACCAGGTCCATGTTCTCCAACTACTCAAACTTCTCTGTTTTCAACTTTTGCATTCCAGTCACCCATTGTTATTAATGCATCTTGAGTGCACGTTGGATCGATCTCTGACTGCAAAAGTTGGTAGAAATCTTCTATTTCCTCTTCTTTGACTCCGGTTGTTGGTGCATATATCTGAATGATAATGGTATTCACTGGGCTTCCTTGTATGCATATGAATATTATCCTGTTACTCACAGTATTGTATTTCAAGACAGATCGAGAAATGACTTTTTTATCTACAAAAACAACCCCATTTTTCCTCACCTTTTTGTCTCCAGCATAGTAGATCATATGATCATCTGACTCAAATTGCCCCATCCGGTCCACCTCATCTCACCAACACCTAGTATGTCATTATTTATGTGTTCCATTTCTTTCTTAACAATATCTAATTTTCCTACATTCATGGTTCTAACTTTCCATGTTCCAAAATCTTAAAGAAATTAACATTACCAGTTACACAATATGGTAAATGTCAATAAAATCACTGACCTGTGCATGTAAAAAATGAAATTACAAATATTTGCTATCTGGAGAACAACCACTTGGCCAACTGACTGGAAGAGGTCTATATTTGTTCTCATCCCAAAGAAGGGC